CCCCCCAACCAGTATGAGCTTATCAAGTTCACCACAAAGCCACCTCTCTGAATACTAAAAAGAAAGAAGGAGCTTTCTTCTAGTGCAGTAAGACTCTGGGTTAAGGACAACATTAAAAAAAATTAAGATTTTGGGTGTTGAAGTGAGAGACTTTTTATTTTTCAACAAATTAAGTAAAAAACAGCAGCAGCCACCAGAAACAGTCTTGGCTCTAACTGAAGTGAAATTTGAATGTAAATGGTCCTCCGCCAGAGCCAAAGGGGTTGAATCCTTGCCACGTGTTCCAGTTCCTGTGGAAAGGGTTGCCCCCACCCTGCTGACTCTCTGCATCCAGTGGGTCTTCTCCTGCATCAAACTTCCGCCTCATTTCTGAAGGAAACAAAACCAAGGTGGAATCATGGCAGAGCAGTTAGGGCAGTAACACCAAGCATCTTTGATGACCAAGAACCAATTCAGAACCCCCCCCCCGAGGCCAGAGAGCTGCAATTATCATTTGTATTGGCAGCATCTGTAGAACCAAATTACTTTGAGTTTTTCAAAGCTGTCCAGGAGACTGGCAGAGAAGAGAGTAACTCCGTGAAAACACCATACGAAAAACTTCAAACAAGTCATTTAGTTTAAAACAAGGCAAGATAGTACCTGGCTGTCCAACAGGACAGGTATGAATTTCAACAGGGTCAGGACAGTTGCACTTTGACCAACTGTGTCCCACAAATAACATTTTGTCCTTGATGAGTTTATTAGACCTATTCTCTCATAGCTGCACTCACTCAGGATAGTCCGAGGACAGACCATGTACCTGTACCCTGCCAATTCTTTGCAACCAATAAATTCCAATATTGATCATTCAGCAACAGCATGAAAGTCAGTACGCAGAGCCCCAAATGTTTTCAATCTTCTCCACACACCACTCAGGCAGAGAGATGTCTAGGGGACAGCAGTCTGGAGGCAGAAAGCATGTTCTTTAAGTAGTTTTGTCCAGCAGGGACAAAGTTGAAAGACTTCCCTGAGACCCACAGGGAAGTCACAGGCTACACCACTATTCTGTTTTACACCCGCATTCAACCTTCCAGCAGCCTGCAAGCACCACAAGGTTTCTGATCACCCAGCACTTTTTCAGGACACCCATTTTATCAAGACAGAGAAGGGAAGCCAAGGAGTGAGTTAGGGCGGAACCATGAGCCTGGCTGGGGAAGGAATGTGGAAGATGGCCTCAAAGTACACCAGAGCCGTATGATAATAAGCTTGCGAATCAAAGCTCAGAGTTTCAGAGGTCCACATGCTTTATAATTTTTCTTTACATAACCAACATGGTCGCTAGAGCCAGAAAATGACCTGGATGAAAGGAGAGAATGTCACTGCAGAGACAGAAAGCAATACAGATGGCATTACAAAAGCCAAATAAAACTGGTGTTACTTTTCTTGCCCAGCTGGTTTGACAGGAATGGTAAGTGTGACATAAGAAACAGTGTCAAGTAGATGAACACATCCTGGAGACGTTGACAGGGCAAACAGCATCTCAGACGCTTCCAGTATATAAATCTCCTAATTTGTGCTGGTGATTATGAACAAAGATCACATGAACACAGAAGAACGTTTTCTGACCAGAAGCGCTTGTAATGTGGTTCGTAACTCTCGGATCCCTCCTTCCCCCAGGAAAGTCTGAGCCTATCTGCTTAATTATCACTTAGATGATCCTGAACAGTTGAAGATAAAAATATCTAAGTCTTCTATGTGCTTCTCTTTCCAGTGACCATACAGGAACAGTTTTAAGACAAGAACTTAACAGATGGCTCCAGCTGAGGGTTTTGGGGTTTTTTTTTTTTTGGTTGTTCTTCTATTGGGTTTTGGAGTTTTGTTGTTGGTGGTGGTTGCTTGCTTGCTTGTTTTTTTTTTAAGGGAGGCAAGATAACCACACCATCCTGGTTTTTATTACATTCTTGAGACTAAATGGTCCAACCCCTTCTGCTCATCTCTTGGCAAGACAGCCATCAGACCTCCTAGTCACCATACCACAGGGTCTCCCAGGAAAGCGACCGTATTCTTCACTTTTTTCCCCTCCTCCAGAGCTGAACAGCAGACAGCCAGATCTGACAGGGCTTCTTGCTCCCAGGGACTGGGCCAGCCCCAGGAGCCCGGCCACAGACCAGCAGTGAGGGCATCCTCTCCCTCACGCCAACAGGAAACGAGAACTCAGTCCCCTGCCCTCAGGGAAATGCTCTGTTTGCAGAGCATCTGTTTGCACAAGGCATCTAGGCTTTGATACACACAACAATGGCCAATTTTGAGGGTCCCTCTGGAGTACTTCAGGTGCTGTTAATCCAAACGTAGTTTGCAACAGAACTTTAGGCAGAAGGAGACACCACATCATTAAAGTAAGTGTCTCCAGAGTTAAGCAATCCTGGAAATCCCTGCAAGATGGTATCCTAAAAAGAGACCTTTGAAATAGTAATTTTTATTTGACTTTTGTTTAAAGTCACTGAAGAACAATAGATAATTCCATGTTTACACCTTCATGCAACAGATTGGATGCAAGTATTAGTGCATTGCTTTCTCAAGACAGATAAGGGGAGAAAAGGGAAGCTGTAATGCTTATTATGACTTACACTTGCTGCATTGTTACATTACTGTAAAAAAAAAGTAATTTTAAAAAAAACAAAGTCACTGCGTAAGAACAATCATTACCCGGGTCAGTAAGGACTTCTTTAGCAGCTGCTATATCAATGAATTTTTTCTCTGCTTTCTTCTTTTCTTCCTCACTCTGGAAGTTATCAGGGTGCCACTGGGATGCCAGCTTTCTGTAAGCTTTTATGATTTCTTGCTTTCGAGCATTTCTGCATGGGTAAAACAGATAACTTAAAATGTTCTAATTGTTCATATGCCACACTACTGAATCTACAGGTTTATTTTAAACACTGAGACAGTATTAGGGGCACCAGAAAATTATGAGGTGCTAGTTAACCTTCTGCAGGTGGCACTGAAGATTGTTTACACAAAAAAACAGAGGAAGCAGGTTGCAACTTTAAACAGATTACTCACTCTTTAATTTACTTTCCTTGGAAAGATGCTACTGCCAGCTACTATGCAGTTCCCAGTCTGAAGAATTTACAATCAGGTGAGTAACAAAAAGCACAAAGAGTAGAGATCAAATTAGTTCATGATTGGAAGGATGACCAATATAGTTCTGAACTGGACATTTGTTTGGTCCTCATAGAAGTCGTTAGTTTCTCAAGGTTAATGACAGATTCTAAGTATTTTAGATACCTTTCAGTTAGTCCTTTCAAACTCTTCCAATCTGTCACATTACTTGCCACAATTTTATTTTTTGTTGCTTTCAGCAATTCTTTTGAGTCTTCATTTCTTCCCCAATTCATTCACCTGACTCTTGATCATCTATACTAAGAACTTCTTGCCAAGGGATTTATTTCCTTCCTTCCCAATGTTGTTCTTTCATTCTTTCTAAAGGAACTGTAAACAAATGCTACTTAAAAGCTGAACACTGCTAAACTAGTACACCAGGAAAGTGAACAGAGCAAGATACAAGAACAAAAACTAACACTCAGCAGAACAAATTCAAGTGATCAGCCCCATATGTACTGGTTTAATAACCAACTTTCACATCATCATCTCAGATACGAATATCTCACCTTTTTACTCCTAAGATTTTATAGTAATCCCTCTTCTGTGATTGCTTCAGCATCCTCTGGGCACGTTCTAGCCCCTCCCGAATCTGCTGGTCATTTTCACTATGGGCTTGAGCAGTCTCATAGTCTTTAATAGCTTTATTAAAAAGGTGGATGAAAAAAAGATTACACAATGACTTACAAACTTCAAATTAAAGAACTCAACCACTCACCAAAACTGAAGTTTTGCTACTACCATATATAAATAGCAAAACTTTTATTTCAACTTGCCATGTTTTTTTTCCAAATTAGAAAACCTTGGAGTAGGAGATACATTTTCACATATAAATTAGGTACTTTTCTTTCTTTATATTCATCACACTTTTTGAAAAGGAAGGAGAAGGGAGGTTACTAGCGGTAGGTCAGAACACTCTCTAGATGTTACAAGAGTCACATGGATGAACATAATGAGCATCTAGGACTGGGACGAAACAGAAGTCAAGCAGCAAGTTTCAGTGACTAGTATTTGAAGAGCCCACTGCACAGTGTTAGTCCCATACATTGCTGTTCAACTGAAGGATGCCTTATACAGAGTCTTTAAATTAATATGCCTGCTTCTCCCACAGTCTGCACCCAATCGACACGATAGAAGGCCTCTTCCCCTTTAATGACAATAAAGATGGATTTCAGATTACCACTAAATTCATACAGTTAGTGAAAGACAAATATTTGCTTTTTACGCCTCCGCATAATATGCGGACAGTTATATTTTAAGGGGTTTTTCCCAAAGGCATGCTCTTGCTTTTATTTCAAGAATTGTATTTCTCAGGAATGAAAGCAAGAGAGGTGCTGTAATGTCTTCATGAATTTTTAAGAAAGTCCAGGGCTACACTTTTTTTTTTTTAACCTATATTATTATTGTAAGTGGTAACTGAACACTTAAGACACCAAGTTTAAATATTCTTTGATATCAAGATTTATCAAGGGAAGCAACTGTTGAAGTCTGTAATGAGACTGCTCTTCTTTCACTGCTATAATCCTCAAAGTCTCATTTGCAGATCCAAGTCTCCTAGGTTTCTCAAGTTAGACAAAGTACTTGCATCGAGATTATTTCCAAGCAGATGCTATTTCTCAGCAGGTGTTACATTTGTTTTTCACTGTTTCTGAGCAAGACAGCAGGAAGTGCTAATGAATTTGTATTACCCAGACAGCTGACACCACTGCAATCTTGTTTTGGTTATTGAAAAAAATTCCAAAAAGTATTTCCAGTGCTCCAACAATTTCATATGTTATTGCAAACAAAACAAAATTTCTATTCATTTTCACATCACTGGACACTGTCATTTGCTGCTTGAACAAAGCATTTTTGCTTTTGCTGATATTTTTAATAATTTGTCCAGTCACTAGAAAAAAACAAACAGGAGCGTACACTAATGCATGTGCCCAACGTATGTTGTCAAAACTGATAAAAATAATGAAAATACAGGGATTTCATTATGCTGCTTTACCACCCCAATAATTTTAAGCACCAGCATACTTAATCTGCTTCATGTAATAATGGGAGGTCCCATCACAACGTCCTGCCAGATGCAGATCAGATTGCTCAACTTCTCTGAGCACCACACGATCTACAGCACACACCACTGGTGGAAACCAAGCTGCTCAGGGGTCAAGTATTTGCAATGACAGTACTAGATTTCTCTTTTTTTAAATTGACTCCCTTATGTAAAGGCTGCAAGTATCAAGCATATGGGAAGATACGTTTTTTAGTGCTGCACACCACAGACGGAATGCACCCAGTACACCTGACAGCAAGTACATTTTGTACTTTCTCTCAGTCGGAAGAGACTTCAATTTTGATGGTACTCTCCAGTGTAGGAATCTTCCTCTTTCAGAGAGCTCATTGCTCTCCCCACCTGAGAGGTGAGGGTTGGAAGCAGGTCGAAGCAGGATGACAGAAGTTTGCTATGAAACCAGGAAACTTATTACTAATTCACGGTATATTGAGCAAGATATTTAATCAATTCTTCTCAGTCACTACTTCTAAAAGCACTAATACCTCACAAACCAACATAAGAATCATTGCTGCTTCTTACTGCCCTGCTATTTCAGAGACCATCCTTTCTTCCTCTCATCCTGTCCCACGACATGAAAGGAACAACCAGTCTCCAGCATCACTTTCAATTTAAATATTTTAGGCAAATCTAACTCTCCTTCTTTCAATGCAAGAGTCTGCACAACCTCTCAAATAGTATTTGCATCGTATCTCTATAAACACCTTAGCTGGCTTTCCTATCTTGCCTGCATCTTTAAAACAGAGTGACCAAGATTGGCCATTATTCCATATGGAGACTTAATTTCCTATCAAACACGAGTAACTGCAGATAACCTATGCCCATGCCAACTCTGTTAGAGGAATAACTGAAACAGTTACGCTCTTACTGAAATTGGGACTGCTTCCCCTACAGTATTGGCGGGGGGGAAGGGGGAAGGGGAAGTATGTCCTGACCAATTTTGAAACAGCAAGGTGGGATTTTTTTCTTCTTTGACAAAACTTGTGCTGTATACTTTAGACAGATAGACTCCTGTACTTATGAGGTAAGCCAGAAAGGGAGTCATTACACATCTGTCTCAGTAGACAAGCCCTGGATCCCATGTGATTATAAAGTAATTAAAACCATTTGATGGGAATCAGAGCTCAGCTATACATACTGAAGTGCATCTTAAAAATTTAACAATAATCACCTTCAAAGTTCTGAATTACAAGTACTTCGAAATTTCCTGTCTTTAAACAGGAAAATAGGTGCCTCCAGCTTGAAATTTTCTTGAGGGAAGAATGAGAATCAGTTTGCCCCTTTAAATATGAGACTACAATTTTAATTGCTCTACTGTTCTCTACAGCAGAGAGAAATCGGCCATCATTTTATAGCAGTTAAAACTGAGGATAAGTGAAGAAACCTTCAGGCAGACTAACATTAATGGACTATAATACTTTTTATGGAGGCTCTGCTGGAAGGCAGAGTGTAACTACAACCACCTCACTAATGTCAAGGGCAGGAGGAAGGCAGGGGGTGTGCTGAACAACAGAGATTTGGAAGAGCACAGCTTCACTCTAGCATGGTTGTCCACTCAGAACCAGGCTAGGACAAGCCCAGCAGGCTCCAGCCCAGGAAATAAGCTCTCCCAGATCCCAGGTGTGTCCTCTCTGTGTTTCCTTACATCCCATGATAGGGGGGCATTTGCTCCAGCACAAGACCAACCTGGCTCTGTGCATTCATGCAGGACCTTGTTACAAAACTTTTTCCCCTCTAATTTGCAAGAGTTGCCAGATTCTCTCACCCTAGAGGAACCAGAAACAGATGAGGATTTAACAGAAGATAATGTCAGAAAGATCCAAATTGAGATTCATCAATTTCAAGAAAACAAACAGATCAATTCCGTCCACTAGTAAGGAGCAAAAGGTACATCTAAGAGGATTCACAGCAGGGCCTGTTTGGCCTGCCCCTCTCTGTACCCTCCTCTAAGCTGAAGGTTCATACACCTTGAAGGGAAAATATAATCTTAAATTTTCTTTGGGTTCTCCTTTTGCTGATACTCCTTCCTCTTAAATCAAAAACCTTTCTACAAGCCATAACCCATGTAGATTTGTATTCTGTACCCTTAACTATTTTTAGCGAGGTGGGGGTTTTATATTCATTTGTAAATGTACTTTTTCCAACACTGACTGAGCTTACTCCCACTGCACTGAAGCACAGAAAAAGATGAGGAAATGTCCAAAGGGGGCCTCATCACTGAAATCTTCGTGATCCTCTTAGGTTGACACTGCAGTTCTAATCAAAAGATGGAAAAACATTACCCTAAGAAAAACAGAAAGACAATTTTTCCTCACACTTTGGGGTTTTTTTAAGCAATCCCTTTGTACAAAAGGACATCAGTTCTCTGAAATGCTGTTGTCTTCCACCCTTTTTCTTATAAGGAAGAATGCAGCTTGCCAGCCTCAAAGAGGGACCAGGACTAGGTCACTTGAAAGGTACAAAGTCTACAGGGCTGATGAAGAGGACTGCCTGAAACCACACCACTCCTCTTTATACTGTGTTTTTATTTGAGTCAAGGAGGCCTAAAAAAAGAACAAAATAGGTATCTCATTTTTGAAGTGAAATTCAAGAGGTGAGCAATATCATCTCAGTGATTAATTTCTCAAAAAGACAAAAAAAAAATGAGCATGCTATTAATGAGAACAGCTGCCTTCATGAATGTTTAAATTGAGAAGATCTTTTTTTGTTCAGTTGTAAAGTGAAAGATCCAGCACCAGAATACAGAAAAGGAAAATTGTTCCGAGTACTAAAATTAATGGAACTAGTTTTCTGCAGATTTAAAGCCTACAAGTCCTCTCCCTCATCATATTTGACTGAAACAGCCCAAAGCTTCAAAAACTGTTGCTTGACTGAGAACGGGGGTGGAACAGATTGTCCAAATTTCCTTCTTAAGCCTCGTTTCTTGTGGAAATGAGATTCACTAAATTAAATTTTGAAGATTTTTTTTTAAATAGCACATTAGTAGTTAGTACGCTTAAAGAAGCTAGGTAACAACATAATGGTGTACTCGGAGACACCCATTACTCAGTCCCTACTTTCCAAGGCTGTAGATAGGACCATGTAACAGTATGCATTTTATGGAAACCCCGTATGGAAAAATACAGCCTCGAGAGTAGAATCAGTTTACTGCTCTTAGCAGCACTACAGAGACCCACGACAGTGAAGCAATGGCTGTTATCTTCCTCTGCCCTCAACACGTGCTAGGGGATAGAACAGTATTGTTTCATGCTGCCATCTAAAAACATTAAAATGGAGTTCCTAAAATGGATTTACATCACCGGAACTATAATTACCCTTTATCTCTAAATGCAGTTGTCTGACATTGCTGATTATATAAAATGTGTTGAAGTAGGTTGAGTAAGCTGTACAGTCTCATAAAACATCCTGAAACATAGCCCACTGTTGTAAAGACAACTCCACTGCAGATAAAACAAGTACATTCCACTTATACTAATCAAGACAAAATTACCGGCAGATATTTTTGTAAATCTGCAACTACCAGTACTGATTAGGAATAACAACACAGTGTAGAATCAAAGTGTAAGTTAAAAATTTTTGAAACACTGACTGCATTTTAAATGCCCACAAAAAAAAGAATATGCAAACTGCATGCAACTGTACCTTCTTCATAGAGGTCTTCTAGCAAATAAGCTTCTGCTCTGTCTTTCAGGGCATTAACATTGGCTGGTTCCAGCTGCAGAACTTCTGTACAAAGTTTTATGGCTTCTGTAGCCTGCTGATTCTAGAGAGGAGAAAGCAAACCAAAATTCATGTAGTTGTGGGGTTTTGGGGGTTTTTTTTGTTTGTTTTCAAGAAATTTACAGAGGGAGATAGAAGCAGAATTACCTTTGATAAACAGTGGCAGATCCTTTCTTTGGCACGAGTAGCATAAATTGGGACTTCTGGCTCAGTTTTCATTACAGAATCATATTTATTGATAGCATCTTCATACCTGTTTAAATCATAAAGATAAGCATAATATCACGAAATGTAATAACTACTTCAGGGTATTGCAATTAATTTACAAATTCTAAGATTTTAAGATTCACAGATTTTCACATCCTTCTAGCAATGTACCATAACTTTAATAGTCTTAAAGGTACGGTGTGAGACAACAGTATGAAGAAAACTTTCAGCCACTTCAAGAATTACACCCCCATTCCCTTTTCTGTGCTATGAGACAGAAGAGCAGGCACTACGCCTGGCAGACTTTTGCAGAAGATAATGACTACCATCCCTCAGTGTGCACAGACAACAGTCTCTAGATATTCCTCCTGTCCAACACGCCACTCAGCACTTAGAGAAAAGCATCTCTCTCTCTGGTATCCAAGATGGACTAAGTCTGGAGTCTTGCTGGGAGCATTTTTTGCATTTCTTGGTACAAAAAAAGAAAAAAGTTCTTTAGGTTAGCTTGAATTGGGCAGTTGTTTTCTGCCTTCCTTCTCCTCAAGTCACAGAGTAAAATGTATTTTTACTGTGAAGGTTTCAAAGATGCTAAAGTTCTATGGTTTGGATAAGAAATCAATTAGAACATTCACCTAAAAATACAAGTGTGTGATTGAACCCATGAGCTGGTACAAGCTAGGAGAAATTCAAGCTCTCTGAAGACTCCCTGAAAATGTGCTGATACTGGATTAAATAGAAGACTAAAGTGAAGAGAGTCCAAATGGACTGCTGACTTAATAAAACAGTCTTCAGTTGTGCCGATTCACATTCCTGATGTACTTCATTTTAAAAAGACACCCTGACAATGTTTAATCACTTGTCAGGGGTCCTTACAGTTGGATGTCGTGAACATGGAAAACTGAAATAAAGCAAGAAGTAGAAGAATGCAAAGGCACTGTCTATCATTTAACAGGGTGCATAAAGGGTCAAACCGCCACAGAAGCCCATCAGTCAGATGCACTTTTGCCATCAAGGCACTGCAGAATTACTAGGTGGTTTTAGTCTAAAGATGGGGTCCTTTAATCACAGAATAGTTGAGGTTTGAAGGGACTTCCAGAGGTCATCTGGTTCAACCCCCCTGCTCAAGCAGGAACATCTAGAGCAGGCTGCCCAGGACTCTGCCCAGCTGGATTTTGAGTATCTCCAAAATGAGGAGACTCCACAACCTCTCTGGGGAACCTGCACCAGTGGAAACAAGGTGGTGGTGGGAAGCGTTTCCTTATGTTCAAATGGAATCTCCTATTTCAGTTTGTGTCCGTTGCCCCGGTCCTGTCACTGGGCACCACTACAGGAGCCTGGCTCTGCCCTCTCTGCATCCTCCCTTTAGGCATTTATACACATCAATGAGATCAGCCTGTAGCAGAGAAGGCTCAGGGGGAACAGTCCCGTGCTATCTCAGCCTTTCCTCACAGGAGAGAGATGCTCCAGTCTCTCAACCATCTTAGTGGCACTTCGCTGAACTTTCTTCCTCGGTAGCTTAATCTCTTTTGTACTGGGGAGCCCAGCACTCCAGGTGTGGCCTCACCAGTGCTGAGTGAGAGCTGACAAGTATTATCCCTACCTTGGTCTTACTACCTGCTCCACAAATAAATTCAGTATTCAAAGAAAAGACAGTGGCATCAGAAGGAATCAGAACAGGATTGTCACTATGTGAGTCAATATTTATTTTAATTGTAATTTGAGAGCTGTGCTCAGTTATCCACTTCAACTGATAGATGCAAAAAGCATCACTTAATCAACTCCTCAATCAATAAGTTGGCGCCTCAGTAGTGATTTTTTTCCTTTTTTTTTTTTTTTTTTAATACAGCAGTGAACACTTACCTGCCTTCTCTGATTAATTCCTCTGCTGACTCAATCTGCTTATTGAGTTTCTTTACTTGCTTATAGAGAGAGAAGCACTGCTTATGGTCTTGGTCCAGTTTCAGACACTCCCGGACTTCACTTTTCAGGGGAAGGTGGCGGGGGGTGGGGGGGACAAAACAAAAAACACAAAACAGAAAGACATTACCACATATTACAAAATTTCACTTAGAGACACAATGCAGCATCTATAAGCTGTCCAGAACAAGAGCTGACTTCTTTACACAATCTCTCCCTTCATCCAAAAATGAATTTAAAGTGAGACAAAAAAGTCTTCCAGAACATACAGGGATATTTGTCTGGTTTTGGTTTTAATTATTTTGTATTGCCAAATATGCAAAGATTGAGAAGTGTTGCATTAACAGGTGGTGGAGTCACCATCCCTGGAAGTGTTCAAAAAACGGGTAGATGTGGCACTTCGGGACATGGTTTAGTCTAGTCTACCCTTAATTGGTTTAGTGGTGGACTTGGTAGTGTTAGGTTAATGGTTGGACTGGATGATCTTAAAGGTCTTTTCCAACCCAAACGATTCTATGATTCTATGATTAATAACTGACTAAATAGCAGAAGAAAAACACATCCTGGGAAAGAAGTTATATGCAGCAGTTATCAGACACAATTGTTTGTAATTTTCCTATGTATTTAACTCAGCTATATTGCAAAATACCTATACAGAAGTATATTTTATGCTGCCTGAAACAGACAAAGCTCAGCTAAGACCCAAACCTCCTCTTGATTGAATATCAGCCAAGCCTGAGCCTGACTTTTCACTGTGAAGACTGTTTAATCAGACTCTGATTAGGGCAGATACCGCTTAAAATAGTCAAAAGTCTTCAAAAAAAAAAAAAAACCCACCCAAAAAAAAACACCACACCAAAAAACCTCATGCAATCACATGAAGGAATAAAAGTTTCGTATCATATTGAGTCACCACAGTACAACCAAGGTGTTATTTTCAGAAAGAGATCACAAAAATCTTATTTTGTTCCCAAGCACAGACAAAAATATGTATTATTTGAAAATCATTAATCCTCTAAGAGGAAGAAACTAAGGGAAGGACAAGATTAATCACCCAGCAAGTCCAAGAGCTATAGAACTCTTTCTTAGTATATCTTGTGATTAAAAAAAAAAAGGAATCGGAGAAGAATAAAGAGGCTTATCCCTTCATTCTGATATCATTCTGTTCTTCAACAGCTCTCTCAACTGTACTTACAAAAATCTTCAGATTTTTTTATTAACAGAGGAAGTCCATATGTGGATTTCAGAGGAAAAAAAAAAATACCACCTATTCTTGAAATCACTAGGCTAAAGTGATGGAAAGCCACCAAAAGTCACCACAGAAGTGACCTACGAGCTCCAGAGATTAAGTATAATCTGGAAAGGGGATCCCTAATGCAAACCAATTAGTTATTTAGCATTTACTTTTGCCCAGCTATAAAATTTTTGCTGTTATAATCACATGCAGTTTCCATCCACCAGCTTTTGTCATACACTGCCAAGAAAAGAAACTCAAGCTTTTCCCATTCCCTTCACCCTCTTACTGAATAGATTCTGTGGCAGAAACCATATTGGAAGGAGTCTGGAGATGCGGGTAGCACATCTGAGATGATGAGCTGCACAGAAACCATTTGTGTGCAAAAAGACGGATTATACCATCTGTCCAGCTGAGCACAGAATATGAAGTAAACAGTCCAGACTGGGCAAGGGCAGTTATCTGCAGGACTGTCTAGGGACGTATGGCAATAACACCTTAAACTTAACTGAATACGAATAAAAGGATAGGGTGTTATAAAAAAATGATCCAAAATACTGGACACTATCTGCAAGAATGAAAGATTAACAGCTCTGGATCCCCAGCTCCTCACACTTGGATGCTCCTGTACTTTTTATTTATTCTTAAGCTTGTAACCTTTTGTTTCCACTCTTGAAAATAAAAATCTAGCCCTAAGACCTAATGCATACATTCTTTGTTTGCATTGTAAACTTAACCTGAATGGAGGTTCAAGGTTAAAAAAAAAACTCCACCAAAGCAAGTTTAGAGAAGCACCTTCTTCTAGGACAGAGAAATACAATAAAGACAGTAAACATAAGCAACTCTGATGGACCTGCGCTATGGCTTCTATTTAAGTAAACACAACGCTAGGACCAGCCGTCAATGGCTGGTCTGCCAAGAATGGTGTCTTCACTGCCAGTTCTTGGTTTCTGGAAAGGAGCTTCCTTTATCAGACTGAGACTAGAGCTGCTACTCTATCCAAAAAAACAGACAACATAGATATTTCACAGCTTATCATGACCTGTATCATCACATTTTCTGTCTCAATTATAATGATTACAGCAAACAGTAAAATTACCTGAGTGATAATTCATGGTCCCCCAGCTGATAATATATTCTGCTGATTTTATAGAAGGCTTCAGTGTTATCATTCTTTAATTTGGCAGCAGCTTTCAAGTCACTAATGGCTTTGCTTGGTTCCCCTTCTTTTATGTAACACTCAGCTCGAAGTTCCCGTAGCTCTGCATCCCAAACACAAACCTTGAGAAATCAAAATTAAAGCTTGGGTTTGGTCCATAACACTTCACTTCTTTTCCTCCCCAATAAAAGAAAAATCCCATTTAATTTCACTTTGCCAACTGTAATAGCATAAGGTTCAAGCTGCATGCAGAGTGCATGAAATTAGCATCTCTGCTTCCTGGTGGATGCTGTGATGCACCTGCCCAAAGAGAAAACAAAGGCCTGAAAAATTTGTAAATGATTCAATGAGCTCACGCAGGGAGATGAATTAAATCTACTGGCACTGCTTAAACTGGGACAGTCTGTTGAGCCTCCAGGGAAGGCTATCAGAATCATAAATTATTATATCTTCCCACAAGAATAGGGGTAATGAGCAGCAAGGACCAAGCTGTCAGTTGTCCTCTAGAAAGAAGCCTGTGGGTAAGATTCAGCTATGCAAGATTTGACCTTAGTATCTGGATTTTAAAGATCTATGCAGAAGCAGCAATGTCACAGTGTGGCAAGAAAATTACTTAAAAGGAATTGCCTATCATACTTCTTTTTAAAGAATTTATTCTGCATCTTATCATTTGTTTGTACACCATCATTTCAGAGAACGAGGCTTTTCTGCTTTTCCACATTCCCTCCCCATAAACAAACTCCCATACTATGGCAGTTTCTTCACCAAAAGCTAGAATGTTGTAAATTCCAAGTCAACAGCGTTAATTTGGATGTGAAGAGTCACAGCAGTTAACTGTCTTTTCATATATATTTCTACATGAAAAACAAAATGCCCACATGATTATTTACACTTATACTATCATACTACCTAGACTGATTAAGATTCAGCAAATACAGATATCCAAGGAACAAGCTGAACATCCAAATAGCTATGTATATTTGTTACGTTTGATCTTTTGTTACTTCATTTTTTCAAGACAAAAATTACCTGCATACAGGCAACAAAAAATCTAGATGGAAGAAACCTATGCCTCATATTTGGCAAAATTTCATTGGTTTGAGAACAACTTTTTTCCCAGCTTCCCCAAAAACACTGAACTGTGGAAAAATGAGAAAGCATAATCAAGAAAGTTATCCACAACAGAAGTTCATCTGAAGTTGTATCTTTAACCCTAACTACAATCTATTACTTCAACTTTTTTGCAGCTAGCGCTCAGCATTCTCCAACTTCATTATGGCCTCATGGTGCTCAGCAAAACTGAGCCAATTACACCAAGTGTTTTCACATCAGTGAAGAAGTTATTAAACAAAAATACACAGATGTCAGACAGGAGCTCTTACTTCCCTTTCACAGTACCATTTTACTTAACACTTACTGCCAAGATTTCATCAAGAAGAGAAATAGCGGCTTTGTAATCCTCTTGCTGGTAGGCAGATAATGCTTGTGAATGCAGGCGCTGTAGCTCATCAGATTTTGTCAGCTGAGTCTGGGCTTCTTTTTCCTCATTATTACTGGGATTGGATTTGAGCTGCAAACATTAACAAAGAGACAGACTGAAATGCTTGTTCAAGGATCTCTTTTTGTTCCATTAATAATCATATAATGGAGAACTGACTAAAGCTGCAAATAAAGCAAAACTAGTTTTAAAAATCCACTGGAAATCTTTCCAACTCCAAACTTCAGAAAAAGATATTTTTACCTTCAATAAGAGTTGTCAGAAGTCGGAGAAATCTAACCCCACAACCCCCCACACACTTGATCATTTACCACTGGACACATCATACACAACAGTCACTGTCATGTCTGTCCCCCCCTCACCCCCGAAATCATGGACCTCTCAATTGTAGCTTAGTTAATTCATCTCTCTGCAGACAGTTATTAAACACTGGATTCTCCGGCATCAGTAGAAAGTAAATCCACTTGGCATAATCATGTATCTCACTTTAAGCACTACACTTATTTATAAATTCATGACAAACAAACACAACATGTCACAGATAGTATTACTGTAAAGCTGTGTTTCTTGTATTTTCCCCAGAAAGAGTGGCTACAGCAGCAAGTTAAGATAGGGAAAAGGCTCAACTGGGATCAGCTGGGAATTTATGCACTTTGTTTCATATGTAGTTTTAAACAAGTCTAAAGTTTTGTCTACAAAGACTCTCATTTCTCAAACCCCTCTCTCTGAGCAAGTAGAAGGGGTTACACTGTACTTGCCCTCATTTGTTTAGGCAGCTTTTTATTTTCAAAGGAAATTAAAAAGCCCCAAAAAATCTCTCACAGGCAACTCTGCTACCACCCAGGAAGACAAATATGGGTCAGGAAGAGTGTCAGTCATTCCCTTGCAAAGCCAGGGAGTCATTTGTAAAATTAGTGTAGTTTGAATAAGGCACTGGCTTCACACTTGTTGCTTTTCAGAATGACTTCCAAAGTTTTAACAGGGACAGATCAGCAGGACTTGCTTTTTTTGTTTGTTTGTTTGCTTTAAAAATCAAAACTTGCAATACCTTGCATTTTATACACAGAATGTTGCCTAAAGTACTGAGTCCTCAAAGTCATCCAGTACCTTTTCTTTCCTTCTTTATCTCAAAGTGGCCCCTTCCCTTCTTCTCATCAGTAAGTTCTTCAACCACTCATATTTTGTGCTGAAGTCTCTAATGTAATTCAACATCAGCCCTCAGAACTCCTTTAACAAAATTTCCCCTGGTTCTAACACTTAAGTTTATGAAAGGAAAAAGCCTAAACGCAACACAAAAAGCATGCACAGGTCCCACCTCTTAGTTTCCTCATTTCAAGTCTTTTTGAACCTTATGTAGTAGTTTAATTTTACTCTGGCAAAAATTAAGTTGTACTTAGACCTGAAAATTCTCCTTTATCCCCTACACTGTCTTTCAGCAAGAGGAGAGGAATGTGATCAAAGAGTTTTCTTTGTGGGCTAATTCCTAATATACACCTCAAAAAGCTTTTCTTCTGGTTAAAACAGAAACTCTGTCTATAAACCCCTGATGCTGTGCATCCTTTTTCTCCCCCAAATCTGGAGCTTGTAGTAGAGGCAAATTTCTGCACCTGTAATTTTAAAAGTTCCAAGACTACAAAACTCTCTGAAGTTCTGAACTCTTTAGCTCCAGTTGACTTGCTTAATTTTCTCCCTCAATTTCTAAGCATCTTCCTCTCTTAAAAATTAAGAGGTTTTGCTACAGACAAACTTTATGCTTCCATTCAAATTTATCTCACAATAACACCACACTCCTTAGACACACAGTATGTTTCTCATAGTTTATGTGGAGCAAAACAGCAGTGGAATATGAAAAACAATGTTACAATCATACATACAAGTCCAACAGTAATATAGACCATTTAAGTGAAACATCCTAGACAATTTTAGGTAGTACAAACTGTTCAGTTAAAGAAAGGGAAACTTTTCAAGCTATCATTCAAATTAAAGCCATCAAGTGTTAGTGTGCTACAGTATGATGAAAAGATACACTCAGAAGCTCTTAATACGTAATTACTGTATTGCCGTGAGGTTTTAATCAGTAATGTTAACGAAAGCAAGAAGCAGCCTGTTCATGCAGCTCCCAGAGAAAAACTGGAAATGTGATGCAGTTTGATACTCTCATTTTGGTTTGCTTGCCAATTTTTTTTTTTTCCCTGTTTTTCTACCCTGTGATCAGAGGACTGACACATCACTATCAATAACAAACCACATTTGAATTATTCCTCCTTTTCCTGTGGAGCAGTAAGCTTGGGGGTGACAAGTCAGAACAAACGCTTGCACTAAGTGGCTAGATTTCCAAGAAAGGAGCAAAGTATTAAAAACCCTTCAGCTGAATTTAATACAGGTCTAAGGCAAACCTAACACTCCTCTACCTGCTTCATCAATGGCCTCAAAGCACAGTCGGAAGCTATGCTCTGCTGAGGTCTGCTGGACAGGCACACTGCTACTGGTGAACGTGTTCTCAGCACAGTATCTTTTGCTGTCTTTGAGGTTTACTACATTTGGATTAGCACACTAATTAGTTGCAGTTGAAGCTGCAGCAACAAGAGCTAGCCGTCTGTTACAGCAGCTTTCATTCACCACCACCATCCCCCCCCAACCTGCACCTCATTCCTTTAGAGAAAACAAAGGCCAGTATACAGGAACAGCTTTGTTACTCTAATTTTCTATCACAGAGGTACTACTATAGGTGCTGCTTTATTTTATAGCCTAGTCTCACTACTATAGGGGAGAAACACACCCTAGGGTAAGCAAAACCCCACTTTTTCCCCACCAAGTGAGCAACAAGGGGGAACAAAATCACCATCATCCCCACTCAATTTATCAAGTCAAGCTTTAAAAGCATTTGCATGTCTATCTTTCTCCCCATTACCCTCAGTGAGGAAGCTGGCTTCTTTCAGAACTTTATCTCAAGGACTTGACTCAAAAACTTGCAACATTACCTTGCTGCACCCAGGACAGTGGGAAAAAGGTATTAATAGTTCACTTCATGAAACTCAGCATGGTTTTGGCATCTAGAAAGCGCTTAGATCATTTCTATTCAAAGTAGGCAGCCTTGGAATGGCTGCCTTGCATCTGCAGTCAAACATCAAGTATTTAAAAGTTTTCTGATGGGAAAAGCATTTTAACAAGCTAAACAATTCATGCTGGTTTTTAAGAAGGAATATAATCCCTTATCCAAACCTGCCATACTTCATATTTCACAAGTCCGTCAATGTGACCTTTCTAACCATACACAGACATTACATCAGCCACACACAAGACTACATGAAAAATATAATGCAGCGCTACCTCAGAAAAACTGTTAATAAGGGGCCATCGATACAGCCAAACTGGTATATTAGCAGTGACAAGACACTGAAGCGAGACCATGGATCTACACAGGATCCATTTGCATCTTGTGTTGGATGCTGCCATCCTGAAGATGCCATGTGCCAGTCTGAATTAATTAATGTATTTCAATGTGTTGCACCTACATGCGTCTTACACTTATGCTTTCTAGATCAGCAATATGCTTTTGATTTAACAAAGCTTTAGAACATCACGTGTTACCATGCTTAAAAAAAAGGATCCCCATTACAGGAGACGGAACTGGAAATCATGAACATAATAGGCAGGAGGCACTTGCTACAAGTTTAGTAAGGACTTTTCACTTCATGATTTTTTTTCGTAAGTATAGGGAAGAATTACAAAAGCATGGCTAAGCTAATTCAATGGCTTACCACAGCCTGTCCTGCTTTCCAGCTACACAGTCCTAGATCTTCCTTTGCAATGGCCCATTAACAATACAGGAAAAGGTTGGGTATTTAGCACAGGAATCCTAATGAAGAACAGTTACAGCCACCTTGCCAACAACTCAAAATCCATACTCTCAAAGAGTATAGTTTAAAGAGATACAGGCAATTCACCTGTAGCATTTGAGTATCTTAGTATGTATTATACACAGACACTATCAACTTGAAAAACTCTTACATACTGTTGTTTAAAAAACAAACTATTGTTAAAAAACCCAAGTGTTCTTAGAGACGCTGTTTCTACGCCTTGCTTACAGCGGTCCAGTGCCACTAACATAGGCATACATCTACATTCTAACACTGCTTTCTTTTCCTGTTTTTCACACTGGTAAATACACAGACAATGAAAAGAAACTGATTAGGCTTGTGAAAGACATTCTGAGGGGAAGTGAAGGAACGTCCATGGTTTGTGTTATCTAAGATCAAGACATCCATGCACTCAAGACAAGTGCACAAAGGAAAGCTCTGAACTGGCAGAACAATATATTAGATAACACAACTATGATGTTAGACAGATGGAAAAAAAGCAAGGGAGTATTTCAATACCTTTTATTCTTTACCCAGGAAGCTACAGATGACCACAGAGGAATGTATCTGGAAACAATCTAATGTCATTTTGACCTGGTTAAGAGGGCTTCAAATACTCAAACCAAGCTTGCCTAGTAACTTACTCAGATCAGGTTAACTTACAGTGCCATAAGATGGTCTCCTCCACCTACATCCAAAATAGTATCATTACACGTACCAAACAACCATGGGAAACTATTGTCCAGTGTACTGTGCAACAGTTGAGGTATTCTCTAGATTAGAAAACAAAAATTTGCAGATGTACAGTGCTCAGTCACTTGGTCTTGGCTGACATCTAGTGGAGCTGGGAGCAGCACCTTCAGTTTCCAGCTTTTAAGTGTTTATGCTTGCAAGAGAGACAGAATTGCATATTTAGGATGCCTCAATTTACAGTATTTATCACAACAAACTGCAACTGTGAACATTACAGTCAGTCTAAAAAATAAAATTAAGAGAATTTAAAAGAAATATGACAACTTGGTCCTTTCCACAATTTCCAATAGACTAGGCAGAAGTTCTGATCTATTTTTGTGCCTTCTACAGAATTCAGCAGCTCAAATGCTTGTCATTTTCTCTAAGACACAAGCAGGGCCACAGACAATATTACAAGGCATATACAAAGGGCTGCCAGGACTTGCATTGCTTTTGTCACCTTTTCAGAAGGCCTTCCATCAACCA